TCAATGACCAATGATTTCCACTTTAAAATTTTTCTTTGTAGCCTTTAATTTGCTGTGCTTTATTTGTTATTGAGAGGTTGAGTATATTTTTAATTTGCACCCTGCGTGTTTTCCCCCTTTAAACCTGGATCCTATTCAGAGGTTTCCAGCACTTGGAGTCTAGAAGTGATACAATGAAAACTGTTTCTCTTCTCTAATAACACACACTGCCTGTTGCAAGTGTCAATTAGAACTTTTAACAACTAGTTTGGGCAGCAACCCGTCTCATGACTATATGAGCTATCTTTAAGAATTTGGGAAGAATTGATATACTGAGTATTTTTTTAACAACCAATATGACCTTGAATCGGAAACCACATTAATAAAACTTAAGTCCCAGATGTCTGTGTTCTTTCAGATGTGTTCTCGTCTTAGGGTATGGCTCAGGTCCTAAGTACCAAGATTGGAAAGTACCTTAGATTCAGGCATATTCTCACTTTTATGTGGATGAAGTATTCCATCAAAAGTACAAATGCAGTGAGGCTTGCTTCCAGCCTGTAATTCCAGCACTTGGAAGGCTGGAGAATAGAGAGTTTTAGATAAGACTGGGCTAAACAGCCAGATTCCCCCCCCCCCAAAGGGGGGAAGCAAAATAAATGCTGTCTATATGCTGAAATATGTCTCATGTCATTTACTAGAAAGTTTTATTTAGTGAATATTCTTCCTTATGCCATGGTAATCTTGGAGTTTGAAAGGAATTGATAACCTATTCTTTGTCACATCAACTCCACATTTTATACTTTATGTTGCAAAGATATGTTTGTTCATTTGCTTAAATGTAGGTATGTCTGTGGGTAGAGCTGCCTAATGTGGGTACTGGAAAACAAATGAATTCTCTGCAAGAACACTACTTGCTTTTGACCACTGAGCTGTCTTTCAGCCCTAAGACATGTCTTGTCTTAAATCTTTCTTTAGAACACTAACACTAGCTGAGTGGTGGCGCACGCCTTTAATCCCAGCACTCAGGAGGCAGAGGCAGACAGATCTCTGTGAGTCTAAGGCCAGCCTGGTCTATAGAGAAAGTTCCAGGATAGACAGGGCTACATAGAGAAACCCTGTCTTGAAAAACAAAAACAAACAAAGAGCACTAACACTAGGGAGTTTTCTTTCTCTTCTAGAAATTGTCATGAATCTTTTTAGTAAAAAAGTATGTTTTTTAAACTATAGTCATCCTCTTAGTCTGTTTCATCTGGGTACATAACAGCATCTGTTATTCTATGGCAATCAAAATAATACAAAGAATTTTCTTCTTAAGGACCAATAAGATGGCTCAGTAAGTGGATGGCAAAGGTGCACGCTGCTAAGCCAGATGACCTGAGTTTGTTCCCTGGGACCCACATGGTGGAAGGAGAGAACCTGTTGCTGCAGTCGTCCTCTCTCCACACATCACTGTCGTGTGCACGCTCACACAGTCAAATACACACTAATAAATGCAAAAGGCGGGAGGTACTTCTTCTTGGTGCATGGAGAAATTGCCTTTGCAGAAGACCTGGGTTTCAGTGCCCAGCCCCCAAATAGTGGCTCATAATTGTCTGTTAACTCCAGACCCAGACAGTTCAGTGCTCTCTTCTGGCCTCTGGCAAGCACAGCATACATACACTTACATATATACATGTAAGCAAAACCCTTCATGCATATAAAGTAAAAATAAATCTTTAAAAATATAGTATTTAAGGAACTGTTCTTTTCTCTTTTGGCTTTTTTAAGACAGTGTCACTATGTAGCCCTGGCTGGCCTGGAACTCTATGTAGTCCAGACTGGCCATAAGTTCTGAAATCCACCCACCTGCCTCTGCCTCTCAAGTGCTGGGATCAAAGGATCAAAGGCCACTGGAGGCCTGTACATTTTTCTTACAATTCTTTTGTTTACACGTTTATTTTTTAAAAATATTTTACCTTATAGTATAAATAAAATCTGCTCAGTTTTTACAAACTTCTGTTGTGCATTGTCAGCTAGTTCCCATAATACAGGAGTTCTTAACTCTTTTTGCCCTCAAGGATGTTATCATTGAAAACAGGTATTTTGCTTTGTTGGGGGAAAATATACTTGTATTAACTTTTTGGGCATCTATCGTCCATTAATATTAAAAGCATAAGTCTAAACCTTGTTCATGTAAAAAATGCTAATTTTAAGAGGCTTGGAGAGATGGTTCAGTAGTTAAGAGCACTGGCTGTTCTTACAGAGGTCCTGGGTTCTATTTCCTAGCAACCATATGAAAACTTAAAACCATCTATAACTGTAGTCCAATGGGATCCAATGTTCTCTTTCGGTGTGCAGACATACATGCAGATAAAACATCCATTACATAAAATAAATAAATCTTTAAGGCCAGATGTGATGGCACACATCTTTAATCCCAGCACTCAGAAGGTAGAGGCAGGCAGATCTCTGAATTCAAGGCCAGCTTGGTCTACAGAGTGAGTTCCAGGACAGTCAGAGCTATACAGAGAAACCCTGTCTTGAAAAATAAAACAAAAAATTGCTAATTTATGGAGAGGTAATTTTTTTGTTTGTTTTGAGGCATGGTATCCAAGCTGGACTGGAGCTTTAGTTAGTCTGTAACTCTTACCGACCTCAAACTTATCCTCAAGCCTTTTCTTTCCAAGTGCTCAATAACAGGTGTGTGCCCCCATAGGAATGTATAGAACTACTGTGCAATCTTCAAAGGATGGAAGTTCAGAAGGAAAGTTGAATTCAGTCATTTATTAAATAGGTTTGTTTCTTGCCTTCCATGTGCCAGACACTGTCTAGGTACAGCAACAAAACACATAAATCTACCTTTGAACAGCTTATTTTTCAGTTAGAGGAAACAGATTGTAAAAAATATAGTATGCTAGATGACTTTATCTAGTATAGAAAAAATAATGAGGCAGGAATAAGACTGTGCCAGGGAGAAAGAGTTGCATTTAAAGGTGTCAGGGAAAGCTCTCACAGAGATGGTGACAATTAAGGAATCAGCAGTGGCAGGGCGTGTGCCCTGATCATCTCTCAGGGCCTGGAGAACATTACCAAGACAGCAAACTGCAATACAAAGCCCCGAGACAGGAATGAGCCTGTGCTGTGAGAAACTACAACAAAGAAAAGTGGTACAGCTGGAACATTCCGAGCTTAGGAGCTGGAGCTGGAGATAGGACAGAGAGCTACAGAGTGCCTACCGCTTGTGCAGCCTCTGGACCATTGTAGAGACTGTGGCTTTTACTCAGAGTGAGATGGGGTGACTGGACGTTCCCTTGACCACTGTGACATTCCACAAAGCAAAGAAAATACGTCTGTCCTGATTTTGCTCTTTCAGAAGCTTCTTTCTCATATAATTGGAGTGTTAAGTGTTGGCTCCTAGAGAATAGTCACACGCATTACATTTCAACCCTTATATCAATAGAGGAAACTTCTGAAATACAGGTCTTATGTTTCAAAATTAAATTTTAAGTAATATGATAGGATATTGGTCTGTAAGTATTTATTCTTGGGTGACCCTGTTTTATGACCAAGTTCTCAATGCTGAATTATCTTTTAAAAAAAGAAAAATCAAAGGAGTGTTCTGTGGGGGAGACCTTTTGTTCACTATTAAATAGTAGAGGGTAGCTAGATACCTATTCACTGTAGTGTTACTTTAACCTTTTCAGTGTATGGGGCCTAAAAGTGTTAATTCTGGGAAATTAATTCAAGACAAAACCCAGAAACTTAAGAAAAAGTGAGGAAAAGGCTAAAGGTTTCTGCTGCAAGAATCACACGTATAAACTGTGTGTCGTGGCTCACGCCTTTAATCTCAGCACTCAGGAGGCAGAGGCAGATGGATTTCTGTAAGTTCAAGGCCAGCCTGTTCTATATTGTGAGTTTCAGGACAACCAGAGCTACATAGTGAGACCCTGTCTTAAGAAAAAAAAAAAAGAAAGAAAGAGAGAGAGAGAGAGAGAGAGAGAGAGAGAGAGAGAGAGAGAAAATCACGCATATTCAGAGACTTTTAATTTGAAAAAGTAGGCTATCTTCTGGCTGGAAGTTAGTACTTTAAGGCATTCTCTTTCTGCCTTTGGGGTGTCCAGAACTGTGTCCATTTGGATGCTTACCAAATATTTGTTGGATGGATTTGATCTGACTGCTGCTCCTTGATATAACTTGTGAGATTTTTCTAAGTTTTATTTTATGGTCTCTGATTAAAGGTGTCCTGAGGTAACATCCTGTTTAGGGGGTTCTTTCTGTTACTAATAGTAACCACATTTGGTTTTACCAAAATCTGTTACAGTGTAAGGAAAATTAATTTCAATCAGTTTATTAAAGTTCATATGCACACATTTGAGAGACTTTGAAGGCTAACCAATGATTTCCACAGCGCCTCATTTTTCCACATTAAAGGAAAAAAGGATCTGTTCTACCTATTTTTGCCTAGGTCCTGGTCCTACAAGCCCAATTCCCTTTGCATGATATATGAAAGATTATTAAAGCAGTTGTGCTGCAGACAGCAACCAAGATCATCTCACCGATCTTCAACACAAACCCTTCTCTCCCGTGTATAATCAGTATTAATAACCTGGTCTTTTGTGGATAGCTTCCTACTATTTCCTAAAACCATGTGATAAATGACTTTGTTTAAATGTGTCTTGCTTTGGTGTAATTTAGCCAGACAGCACCTTTAGTAAAGGCATATGTTATACTTTGTAGTAAGTTTTCCTCAACAATATTGACATGGGGCAAGTGATATTTCATTTTTGCTTATAAGCAAGTGTTAGAACCAGCTGGTTTTCTGACTTTCAAGTATACCCTTTTTGAGAACTGAATAAAAAGTAGATCGTTCAGACTAGAGTATTAGAATAGTAATTTTGTCTAGTAAGTCCTTTTATCAGTCATTTCATTGCATTTGTATCACCTGATTTTTGTGAACTTTTCCCTTTAAATAATAGCCAAAGTAAGATGTGTATGAGACTCACAATGTAGTTAAGCTGACTCATCATCTCTATTTCCAACAGAGATTTCCTGCTAGACAAGACAAATTAGAGTTTACCTACTGACTTGACTTGGTGAGTTTTATGTAGTTTTATTTATACAGTTTAATCATGAAGGGGTAAAGCAGAATGAGATAGATAGAAATATTTATTGCGCTTGAAAAATGTACATCTTTAGTGCAGTTTACTGTTTGATTTTAGTGCATATGGAAGGTAAAGTCATATAAAGAAAACATGTTTGATTTTCTTTTTAATGTGTATGTACTTGTATGCGTGTGCATGTGGAGGCCAGAGGGTAGTCTGTCATCTTCAACGACAGTATCCACCTCCTTTAAGACAAGGTTATCTTATTGGCCTGGAGTTACCAGTTATGATAGGCTGGCTAGCCAGTGAGTCCCAGGGATCCCCCATCTCTGCCTGCCAGTAATGCTGGTTTAAAAGTGAGTGCCACCATGCCTAGCTTTTATGTGGATTCTGGGGATTGAACTCAGGCCCTTGTTCTTACAAGGTAAATGTTTTACCAACTAAGCTATCTTCCCAGCCCAATCCAAAGAAACATTTTTGTAAGTGACTCTAATAAAGGTTTTATTCTAAATATCCCTGCTGGGAATAAACTAGAACCTTTTAATCATATCTTTTCTGCTGACTAATATATACTAGGAAAAGGTTATACATACTAATGGGGGAAGCAGTTGTGTTTGGATTTAAATTTTTTTTTTTGAGACTTAATGACGCTATATAGCACAAGCTGGCCTCAAACTCATCATCCTCTCAAATGCTAGGATTATAGGTATATACCAGCAGTCCCAGCTGGGTTTAAATTTTTAATCAAGGGTTGCTAATACATGATATGGAAACAGTAGAGTAAGAAGAGCTCTTTAGAGGGTTAAGATTACAGTTTATAAAGCAAAAAGCTGTAAGCAGTGTGGCTTTTTTGGTCTGTAAAAGGAGTTTGAATTTTGAGCATCTTACCTTTTTGTATTGTACTTTAGAACTTAGTTCTTTAATGTTGACTTAAAATCTTGCTACCAAAATGGCTCTCTTCAGGTGTTTACTCTGGGCTCTGATTAATGCCTCAAGCCTCTATGTATACTTCTACAGAATCTTACTGGGCAAAATGGGTGTTATTGCATTTTAATCTTTTCAGACAAAGGTCATCAGGAACTAAGGGCATTCATTCTCTTAAGAGAGACATCTTGTTCAACTTTCCTGTTTTGTCTGCCTATGTGTTTTTACTTTCCCCTTGATTCAAGAACTTATAATGCACACTGGAGACTGAGAACTTTCAGGTTTTCCTTTGTTCTGTTGAGTTTATTTAGATCCTTAACATAGCTCATTGCCTAGCTAGACTAGCTGCCCATTAACTCCCAAGACTCTCCTTGTCTACTTCTAAGTGTTTCCAGTCTGGCAACACTTTACCCAAAGAGGCATCTCCTTCTGAGTCCCCCTCCTTCCCCCTACTCTCTGTGCCCCCCCACCCCATCCCCAACATGCACACCAATATAGGGTCTCACTTATTCTTGGCCTCAAACTAAACAGCTGAGGATGACCTTTTGACCACTGGTCTTTTCTGCTTCCACTTCCCAAATGTCGAGATTACAGGCATGTGCTATTATGCCCAGTTTATGTGGTGCTGGGAATCAAACCCAGGATTTCCTGTATGCTAGGCAAGAACTCCACCAACTGAGCTCCATGCCCAGGCCAGAATTTGTTTATGTTTGTTTGTTTTTTTAGTTTTTTGAGGCAGGGTTTCTTTGTGTAACAGCTCTGGCCTCGAACTTACAGAGATCTCCCTGCCTCTAGAGTGCAGAGATTAATGATGTGTGCCACCCACCACTGCCTGGCTGAATTTAGTTATTTTTAAGAAGGAATTTATTTTCTGTGTTTAATTTCTAGATAAGACACCTTCATTTAATAAGGAGATGTGTTAAGACCTAAAGGAGATGACAGTGTGTGGCGCGCGCGCGCGCGCGCGCGCGCACACACACACACACACACACACACACACACACACACACAGGCTGGGAAGGTAGCTCTGTGGTAGAGTACTTGCTTATCTTAGTTGGAGGGGGTTGGGCTTTCCCTTTCAAAACATATTTCTGAGGAAAATTGAGTTCCCTGATAGGTTGTAGTGGTTAATGGGGAACATAATGGGTTGCTTTTGTAGTATGGTAAACGCCCCGTAGCAGGTGAGGCTTTTCTGTTTCCAAGTTAATGAGTTTACTCCTCACTCTATATCCCAGTATTGATTCTGACTTTTCTTCTATGTTCATTCCTTGGGCCTCTTATCTGACCAATTTTTATTAGCAATAAATATTTAAATGATTTTTTTCTTATAAGGCCAGCGGATACTATGGGTTATAGGCAGCTCTCTTTGTTAAATGAGATGATTTCAGTTTTTAAATTCCTTACATGCTGGACACATATGCATAATATTAGAGTTAACCTTTCATCTGTTTATGGTTTAAAGATTTTTTAAAAAGTATTCTTAACTATGTGTAGGCGTTAAGAGGCACCTGAGATGGGTGCTGGGAACCAGACTGGGGTCTTCTGTAAGAGCAATATGGCTCTTAATTGCTGAGCCATCTCTGTCGCTTGTTTACTTGTATATAAAGTTTTAGGTCAGCTAGCAAGATGGCTTGGTGGGTAAAGGCACTTGTCCCCAAGCCTGATGGATCCCTGGGAACCACGTGGTAGAAGGAGAGAACCAACTCCCACAATTGGCCCTGTGCCTTCATACAGGAGCCATGGTATTCACGCACCCCCATACACACTAAACAAACAAACAAACAAATAAATAGGAAAATTTTGTTAGAAATACCAGAACCCCCAACCTTGTTTAGACTTGAAATTATGATCTTTCCTTTCTTCCTTCAACTACACCTATAAAAACTTTATACAGTAATCTATGTTTTTCCTCACATCTTGTGTGGGGGGGCCCACATGTGATGAGCTTTGGGAGTATTAACTAATACTAGAGTCTGCTTTTTACATTCTCCTATTAAAAATTTTGTTGACTATTTTCCAGCAGAGAAATCTTGGACATGTGGGAGATGTTGAAATCTTTACTTTTACCAAGCTTGCTCATTGTGGTCTTGAAAGGTTTTGGCCATCATTCGTTAGAAGTAACACATGATTTTAATTTATGAAAATGGAGTCATAAAAAAAGTCCACTCTGAAGTGAAACAGCCCCTTTATAAGCTTTTTGTTTGTTTGTTTGTTTGTTTGTTATTTTGTTTTTTTGTTTTTTTGTTTTTTTTGGTTTTTCAAGACAGGGTTTTTCTGTGTCGCTTTGTGTCTTTCCTGGATCTTGCGCTGCAGACCAGGCTGGCCTCGAACTCACAAAGATCCAATTAAAGGCCAGAGCCACCTCCACCCAGCAAGTTTGTTTTTTTATTTGAATTTGTGTTGTTCCATTTTAGACATCTCCCAAGTGATGGATTTGAAACTATGTGTGGAGAGCTTATTCTGATGAGTCCTATGTGTTGGTTTTTTTGTTTTTTTGTTTTAAGCAGCTGGTAGAGTCTTGCTCCCCAGCAGGGGTTCTGTAATTAACAAAGCAGCATATCACCTGCTGGTTTTAGCCCAAGCCTTGTGAAACCTATGCTTGTTTTGGACATGTTTTATTTTTCTGGATTCCCCCATCTAAGTAAAGGTGGAATTTTTTTTTTCTCATATGCTGTTCTTTGCATGTATTTTGTTTCATAGCTATTTTTGCCTAAATTAAAAAGCAAAATGGAACTCCAAAAGTCTTTCTAATATCTGGAGTTTTTCAGTCCTACAAAGTAATTTAATGGAATCTCCTTTCCAGAGCAAGCTTCTAAGTTTGGAGCATAGATGCATTGCCTTCTCCCAGTGTTATTTTGAGGGTAGAGGATGATGCCAGTGTGTCTGTACCAGTAACTCTTAAAGTGGTGGGTAGATTCTAGGGGAAGGAAATTACTTCCAGACCCTTAAATTGGCAATACATTTTTTTTTTTTGCATTTTTATTTTTTATTTTTTGCTGTCTGGAAAAGTTGTATCTGAAGTGAAAATTGTTCTACATTTTAACCTTTGAGCTGGCTGCTAGATCTCCTTAGGGACAAGGACAGTTTGTGGTTATTTATAACCTACTGCCTTCTAAAGAGGGCAATAAGGCTGTAAACTCCCAGCATACCTTGAAGCTTGGGAATGAGTGGGAACATTCTGCTGTTAACCTATTGCATTTGGGGAAAGACTTGATACCCTTTCTTGTTCATTGACAGTTTAACTTTGTATGCATGAGCCCTGTCAGTCTGTTTCTCTGAAACTAGCTTATGGTACTGGAGAAGAAGGAAGGAGTCCTCATAGTCCTCTCAGAATCGGTATTTGCCTAAGAAATGTATGTAGCCTGGGGAAATCTTATACACTAAATGCTATCTTTGTTTCAGAGTTTCCCACGTATACAATAGTTTGAAAAACAATGTTTAGAAAAACTTAGTTAAGTGTCTAGACATAGATGTGTTTTCATGTGTAATTATCTTTGTTTCTATATGTCCGTTTTAAGGTAATCAGGCTGTGTCAAATAGGAAAATTATAGATGGAATCTAAGTAAATGCTCACTATCTGCCTCAATTTGATTATTTTAAAATTTAGACTGGTTTCCTGACAGTTATTTTTTTTGTTTTGTTTTGTTTTTGGTGTGTGTGTGTGTGTGTGTGTGTGTGTGTGTGTGTGTGTGTGTGTGTGTCTCGGGGTGGGGGGGAGCGTGTGCGTGCGCTCTCACACGAGAGAGCACAATGGAGGTCTCTTTATGTAGTCCTGACTATCCTGGAAGTCACTATGTGAACCAAGCTGCTCTCAGACTCACAGAGATCCAACTGCCTCTGCCTCCTGAGTGCTGGGATTTAAGGTGTGCGCCTGCTAATGGTACTTTCTATAAGAGAAATTGTTCTGGGAAGTGTGCGTCTCGCAGTGTTGTCTTGTAGATTCAGGAATTCTCCCATATCCCTGCAGATTCTCTTTTCTCTTCTTTTCTGAATTTTTTTTTTAAAGAATTTTGACTATAGTTTTAAGATGTACTTAATTTTTTTTTTCCGGTTTTTTGAGACAGGGT